ATAGTGTGTCCGGAATGTCCTTCCTGAGTACACAGATGGCTGGGTAATAAACTTAGGAATTTTGAGTGGATAAGCACAAATTTGAGAGAACAAAGGAGACAGCTCCAAAATGGAGTCACTCTGGCTCCACAATCCTCCTGCCTCAGCCTCTTGAGTGCTGGGATTACAGGCATGCACCACCACACCTGGTTTAGCAAATATTATTGCAGCTTATTTTAGTTACTGTTTCTAAAATAAAACCATGTGGTGATGAGTTTTCTTCAGAGAGACATCATCAGATTGTAATCACAGAACTTACGAATGAATCTCCTAAACCTGTGTCCATTAAACACCACACATGGGCCAGAAGTGTTACGAATGATGCCCTAGTATTGAATAAAGCTGTGAAAAAAGAAAAAGAACTTGCTGCAGTCTGCCCTATCAGCAGCCAGGGTGACATTCTAAAACCAAGTCAGATCAGGTTAGCTTCTTGCTCACCGGCTCCTGGCTTCCATCACATTTCCTGCCTCGCAAAAGGGTGCTCTTCTAGGTTGGGCCACGTCCTCATTTCCATGAAGCTTCTGCTCCTGTCCCAACCCAAGGCCTGTGGTCACCAAGCCCTGCCATTCTGGCTGCTCCTGACTTTGCAGCCTTTGTACCACTTGTTCTGAGCTGACATCCTGCTGCTGGTTTATGTAGTCTGAGCTCAGAGAGGGCTTGGCATCCACTGACTGCCCAGCGCACCATAGATAACCTCAGCCTATTTGGAAATCAGCAAGTGTTGGCTCCCTCTCTGCTGCTCCGGCTCTCACCTTAGGACAGAAGCAGAAGGTCACTCACCAGGGCCAGCCAGCACCTGGGAGGGGGCTGCAGTGCAGAACAAGGTCGGTGGAAGTCACCCCAAGGGGAGATGGGGCTGTCTTTCTCGGTCTTGTTTTCTGAGACAGCCCCACTCTGTAGTCCACGCTGGCCTTGAATGCGTGACCCTCCCACCTCAGGTTTTCCTTCTTGTAGATCAATGTCGGACTGTAGCCTCCCAGCTCAGAAACAGAGCCTCGCCTTGGCCACGAAAGTGATTGCAAGCGACAGAATGGCAGGCATAAGCAGCAGGTCCAAGGTGATTGCCATTTCTTCCTGGTTTGTTCTTTCCGGAACCCAGAACAGGCCGGCTCTCCCACCAGGGGGTAGGGTGAGAGCCTTGGGCAAACACAGGAGTTGACCTACTTTGACAGAGGAAAGGTAAATCCCCAGGTGGCTAGGCCGGCAAGGTAACTCCCCTCCCTCCCTGAAACAGGCTCACCCCTGCTCTTAGTTCTACTTCGAATGATAGAAAACAGTTGAAGTTCAGTGTATTAAAGAAACTAAATCTGATAGCTTTAGGTAAAATATTTGAATTAGGACAGAGTGTGGCTCTTACTAGTTTTCAGGGTTTGGTTAGAGTAAAAGTAATAAATAAGAGGACACTGCCATACTTAAATGTGTAACAAGCCATAAGTAGTGTTATCTGTGAGCGTCCAGCCATAAACTCACAAAGGAAGCTCACTCTGAGTCATCATATGCAAATTAATGCTTGGGGCAATATTTTGTTATCCAAGGATTTCTTTAGGAAATGGCTTCACAGTACACTTAACTGTTTTTTGTTTGGTTGGTTGGTTGGTTTGCTGGTTGGTTTAGTTTGGCTTTTGTAAAAATGTGTATTTTAGCTGGGTGTGGTGGTGGAGGCCTATAATCCTAGTATGCTGGGAGGCTGAGGCAGGAAAGTTTCGAATTCAAGCCCAGTCTGGGCAACTCTCTGGCGTAGCAACCTAGTAACCTAGTAATTATTATAGCATTTTACTCATCCAGTAATTAATACACATTTGTACTTTGATAGGATGTCTACAAATAATTCAGATAGTCTTTACTCAGATTACATCTAGAATATGTGCTTGTATTAGGAAATGGATCTGGTCATGCATCTAAATGATGTATTTTGTTCCTATCAGTGACACTGCTGACTGAGAAGATTTTAGAATAACTTTCTGAACACACAAACACCAAGCAGGCCAAAGTTCAAGGACGATGGAAGTAATATTGAAGTAGGCATTCCAGGAGCTGCAGCTCAAAGCCAAGGCAAGTAGCAGATTTTTGGCCAAATCCCAAGACTTTCTCTAATGTCACTTAAGGTAAAGATAGCTTTTAGGCAGGAACACTTTACGTATATTCACATGAAGGTTTCAGTCAACTAAAACACGAGTCTTATCCACTCAGATGGCAATTAAGTAATATTTTTCCATCCAATCTTGTAGTTGATTTGTTTGGATTAAAGAGAAAATGATGGCACTGGGGTAAAGCTCAGTGATACAGTCCTTACCTAGCATGTTTAAGGCTCTGGGTTTGTTCCCTAGAACTGAAGAGAGAGAGAGAGGGAGGGAGGAGGGAGAGAGAATGGTATTATAACTTCTGTTAAATTTTATATGATTAGATATAGGCAGGCTTAGACTTTAACAAGCCCACATTTTTTAACCTGTCAAAGTATTTCTTGTCCCTCCCTGATAATCAATGAGCTATCCACAGCCCATACAAACAGCTGATACATGTCTAATGAGTCTGTCAAGGAATGAGTCCCACCATGGCTACCTAGCATTTGGGGTTGAAATTATTCCATTCATCAGCATTTACTTATAACCAAGTCAAAAAAGGCTGTTTACGCCAGTCATCGAACTGTTGGCTGCACTCTCATGGAGTCCACATTTTTCAAAGATGTTGTGAGCCTGTCTTGCTGCAAACCAGTGTGTTCCTCTGAACTTACTCTTTACATTTCATGTTTATTCGAAGTGAGTCCATACTAGCTTTTAGAGATGACTGCTGTAAAACCACCAAAGTGGATGATATTCTTTTCTATAGTTTTGTTCAAGATGGAAAATTTCAATAGTGTGCAGTTTGTAGAATTACCTCATTACCTCCACACTTTTCCCCCCAGCACTGGGGATTGTCATGCCTGATCTAAGTGAGTCCTTCACAAACAAACAGGACAAAAACAAACAGGCTGCTCTCAGCAAATGACAGGCTTCAGGCGCCAAAAGGTCCAGTGATTGTCTACACACCTGTGCAGACTGCCCTTGGACTCAATCATAAACATTTCACCCCAGATTCCTTAGCCCCTTCAATACCTATGTAAGCCTAATTCCTTTCCCCGTTAGCTGCTAATATCTCTCCTAGTATTAGCCCATCCACCCATGGATGAAATCTCTGCTAGCTAGCTGCTGCTATTTCTATCTCCCAGCCCACCCTCACATAGATGTAATGAGCTCAGCTTTTCCCAGCTAGCTGCAAAAATCTGATTTTAGTCTCTGTTCACTGGAATAAACTTTTCTTTCAAAAGCTTGTTTAAGGGGCTGGGGATTGGCTCAGTGGAGCCTTGCCTGACTCACAAGCACAAGATTCTGAATTTGATCCCCATTACAGGGGTGGGAGTGGGGTGGGGTGTTGTTTAAATGAGTGGTTTCATGTGTGCCATATGTAACAGGGATTGAACTCTGGGCTTCATATTTTTGGCAAACACTCTACCAGCAAACTACATCCTCAGCTGTTTTGCATTTTTATTTTGAGACAGGGTCTCACTAAGTTGCCCAGGCTGTCCCTGAAGTTGTGATCCTCCTGCCTCAGCCTCCTGAGTAGCTAGGATTACCACAGTTGTGCACCCAGCTCTCTACATCATTTTGTTTTTGTTTTTTGAGACAGGGTCTCACTACATAGTTCAGGCTGGCCTTGAATTCACTATTTCCCCAGGCTGGCCTCCAACTCAAAGCAATCCTCCTGCCTCAGCCTCCTAAGTGCTGGGATTACAGGCATGTGCCACCATGCCTAGCTGTAGGGAACAGGGGAAGGGGACGTTACCAGAACCTCTGCAGTGAGTCCTGGTCTCCTTCGAGCCACGGCAGCACACGGCGAATTACAGGAAAGGTAGACAAATGAGACTGAGAAGAAGCTGAGCTTTGGGTCTGATCA